TTATTAGAGCATAAGCTTTCGTGGGCTACAACCCACTTCTTTGGATGCATATAGAGTTTATATGCATCCGAAGAACTGGGTTGTAGCCCACGAAAGCTTATGCTCTAATAAATTTGTTAGTCTCTAAGGTGCCACAAGTACTCCTGTTCTTTTTGAGGATACAGACTAACACGGCTGCTACCCTGAAACCCTTTCACATAGCAAGTCTTTGAGTGAGACCCCCCCCCTTATAAAATAAAAACATTTTTTTATATATTTAACACCATTATAAATGCTGGAGGCAAAGCGGGGAGCCCCAGACCCTTTAAATTGCCCCCTGGGGAAGTCGGGCCACCCGGGTACGGCAAACTGGCTTACTTTCACCGCTGACTGTCCCTATAAAATCGGGACATTTGGTCACCCTACTCCGCGGGGAGAGGGGGGCGCAAGGTGGAAGTTTCGCCTAGGGCGCAAAATATCCTTGCACCCGCCCTGGGAGCAGGCTGTGAACGTCCCTCGCTTCCCGGAGACAGTTGGTTGTGGTGTGGCGTCTAGGCGGTGCAGACACCCGGAAAGTTCCCCACGATAGCGGGACCATGCGACGGCCCCCGGGTTAGAGTAGCTGCGGGCGGGGAGTTTGCAGACGCTCCCTGGCTGGGCTGGGTGGGGCTAGCCTGGATATGTGACATTCGCTTTTCTAGCCTCTGCGTCGCAGCCCGGGCTAGTGAAGGTAACGGGGCCCCCACAGCCCCCTGCCCTGGAGTCCAGGGTCCCCAGCCGGGGAGAGAACCCAGGAGTCCTAGCGCCCAGCCCCCTCCACCCAGGGATCAGGACCGTCTGGGGGTGGCAAAAAACCTAGAGCCGGCCCTGCCGGGGATACAAATGTGTGTGCGCTGCCCCCTGTATCACGGTCGGGGGGGGGCAGCCCTGCCCCACCCACAGAGCTCCCCCCAGCCACTGGCCGGTCCCAGGAGTCGCGGGGACTCGCCCTCAGCAGAGCGGGGTCCATGACCCGGGACCGGCAGGTCTGGCTCTGCCCAGCAGGGGTCGGCGCGGATCTGGGAGCTGGGCCCGGGAGGGAGGAGTTAGGATCAGAGCCAGAGCAGGAAATTCAGCAACTTGTTGGGTCAGAGCGCCCCCCCCCCAATTCTGTCCATCCTAACCCCCCCCTGCACTGTCCATCTGTCCAGCATCACCCCCCCACACACGCCTGTCCAACCCCCTCTTCCGTCCGTCTGTCCATCCTCTCCCCCTGCACTGTCCATCCTCCCTTCTGTCTCTCTGTCCTCACCCCCCTGCACTGTCCAACCCCCTCTTACATTCGTCTGTCCATTCTCACCCTCTGGTCTGTCCGACCCCCTTCCATCCATCTTTCCACCCTCACCCCCATCATGCCTCCCCGACCCCCCCTTCCATCCGTCTGTCCATCCTCACCCCCCACTCTGTCCAACCCCCCTTCCATTCGACTGTCCATCCTCACCCCTGCACTGTCCAACCCCCTTCTGTCTCTCTGTCCTCACCCCCCTTCTGTCCATCAGTCCATCCTCACCCCCACTCTCTCCAACTCCCCTTCCATCTCTGTCCTCACCCCCCTTCTGTCCATCAGTCCATCCTCACCCCCACTCTCTCCAACTCCCCTTCCATCTCTGTCCTCACCCCGCCTTCTATCCATCTGTCCATCCTTACCCCCCCACACACGTGTCAGACCCCCTTTCCATCCATCTGTCTATCCATCCCCACACCCACGCCTGTCCAACCCCACTTCCGTCTGTCTGTGCAATCCCCACTTCCATCCATCTGTCTGTCCTCACTTCCCCCCCCCCGTGCCTCTCCAATTCCCTCTTCCATCTGTGCATCCCTACCCACACGTCTCCCTCCCTCCATCCCCACTCCCCTCCTTCTGTCTGTCCATCCATCCCCCCTACATTTCCATCTCTCAGCCATACCCCAGTCCCCGCTGGGGGCTGGGGCCATGTGAGGGGGTCGATGTTCCCTGATTGTGTTTGTCTGGCCTGGCTGAGAGCCCTGATGACGGGGTGTATCCATCCCACTCTGGGCAAGCGGGGGCGTTCCCCCCACCACCACCCCCAGCAGACGCCCAGAGCCCTGTGACGCTCCCCTACATTTCTCCACCCCTCCCCCGGCCCCCAGCCATTCCCTCCATCCAAACATCCCCACGCCCCTCCCGTCCGTCTGTCCATCCATCCCCATTACCCCCCCACACACACACATTTCTCCATCCAGCTCCCAGCTGTGCCCCGGTCCCTGCCTGCCCCTACTTGTTGGGGGCTGGCCCGGTGTGCAGGGAGGGGGAACCCGGGGGGGCCCGAGAGGAGACGTCACTCTGATCTCTAAGGTAGGCCTGAGAGCCTGGGGGATTCCCTGCCACAGGATTTGGCTGAGTAAGGGGGTGGGGCTGGGGTCTCAGAGCCTTTGCTGGGGGACACACCCTGTGCCCATCAGTTTCCATGGGAATCCTGTATCTCACCGCACATCCTTTCCCCGCACAGATCTCCGACCTTGGAATAAGATGACGAGCTGCGGCCTCCTGAACAGTTCCAACGAGCCGGGTGAATCAGGGCAGGGTGGGGGAGGCGGCGGTGCCATGGCTGACGTCCCCCTGCCCCGGAGCCCATGGTGGGGAGTCTGTGGGGGGCCCATTGCTGATGTCCCCCTCCCCCATCGCCCATGGGGGTCAGAGGGGCCTGTGGCTGACATCCCCTTTACCCCAGTACCCCTGCGCAGCGGCTCGCTGACGGTGCTCAT